CAAAAAAAAAAAATATATATATATATATAGACTGGATGTTAGACCAAAATGTTCTTCGTTGACCATATTGATCCAACCTGGAAATATTAGCTAATGACTAACACATACATTTTAACAGCTCTGTTGGATGTTTTGATCAATAAAAATGGGATGTCTTTTGGAATTCTGTGGGGAACTTGGGAACTAGTTATGTGAGATCCCACATCGACTTGGGTTGGGAGGAGAATGGAGGAGAATGAAGCATTCATTATAAGGGTGTGGAAACCACGCGTTTTAAAAACTTTGAGGGGAAGTCTGGAAGGGAAAGCCCAAAGAGGACAATATCTGCTAGTGGTGGGCTTGGGCTGTTACAAATGGTATCATAGCTATACATCGAGCGATGTGCTAGCGAAAAGGTTGAGCCTCGATGGGGGGTGGACATGAGGCGGTGTGCCAGCAAGGACGTTGAGCCCTAAAGGGGGGTAGATTGGGGGTCCCACATTGTTGAAGAAGGGAACGAGTGCTGTCAAGGGGGTAGATTGTGAGATCCCACATCGGTTGGAGAGATGAATCAAGCATTCCTAGGGTGTAGAAACCTGTCCCTAGTAGACGCGTTTTAAAAACCTTGAGGAGAAGCCCAGAAGGGAAAGCCCAAAGATGACAATATTTGCTAGTGGTGGGATTATGCTATTACAAATGGTATCAAAGTCAGTCACTGGGCGGTGTGTCAGCGAGGACATTGGCTCCCAAGGGGGGTGGATTGTGAGATCCCACATCGGTTAGAGGAGGAACGAAGCATTCCTTATAAGGGTGTGGAAACCTCTCCCTAGTAGACGCATTTTAAAAACCTTGGGGGAAAGCGTAAAGAGGACAATATTTGCTAACGGTGGGCTTAGGCTGTTACAAATGGTATCAAAGTCAGTCACCGGGCAGTGTGTTAGTGAGAACGTTGGCTCCCATGGGGGGTGGATTGTGAGATCCCACGTCAGTTAGAGAGAGGAACGAAGCATTCCTTATAAGGGTGTGAAAACTCTCCCCTAGTAGACGCATTTTAAAAACCTTGAAGGAAAGCCCAAAGAGGACAATATTTGCTAGCGAGGGGCTTAGGCTGTTACAAATGGTATCAAAGCCAGTCACCAAGCGGTGTGTCAGTGAGGACGTTGGCTCCCAAGGGGGGTGGATTGTGAGATCCCACATCAGTCAGAGAGGGAAACGAAGCATTCCTTATAAGGGTGTGGAAACCTCTCCCTAGCAGACGAGTTTTAAAAACCTTGAGGAGAAGCTCGGAAGGGAAAGCCCAAAGAGAACAATATTTGCTAACGGTGGGCTTATGCTGTTACAAATGGTATATAAGCCAGTCACCGGCCGGTGTACCAGTAAGAACGTTGGCCCCCAAGGGGGGTGGATTGTAAGATCCCACATCAGTCAGAGAGGGAAACGAACCATTTCTTATAAGGGTGTGGAAACCTCTCCATAGCAGACGCGTTTTAAAAACCTTGAGGAGCAGCTCGGAAGGGAAAATCCAAAGAGGACAATATCTGCTAGCGGTGAGCTTAGGCTTGGGCTGTTACAAGTTCAGACTTACGGGATGGTGCATCTTTATGTCTGTCTCTGGGTGGCTAATGTCAAGGACTTTAAACATTCCCTTCTTTGGTACCATGTCATTTGATGAATATATTTGTATGATATGTTACTAGTTTCAAAGAAGTCTGATATGTTATCTCTGTAGATAAATAAATGTGATCTATTTCCAGAATAATGCCGGAATCAGCTCTTTCTGCACCTAAGGAAAAGAAACTTACTGGCAGGCAGTGGTTTGAGAGTGGAAGAGCTTCTACGGTAGTTTTTCTTATTAAGCACTGATGTCGTTGCTAGTACAGACATATCGAACAATTGTCTTTTCCATGCTACTACACAGTCGATACGATGTTGAAACTCCGGTTAACGGGAGCTTTTGCTTCATTCAACTTCATATCATGCTCTCTTTTTCTTCTCAGAAAGGTGCAGCCCCAGTTACTGAAGGATTGGATGAAGAAGATGATGAAGATATCGACTTTGACGAGGATGATTTCGAAGGTACTCGCTCCCCGCTCATTCATCTAATCGTCATGTATCGATTGTTAATAATCATCCCTTTGCATTGCTTGAATGGCAGATGATGAGGAAGACATGCTCGAGCACTTTCTTGCTGAGAAATCAGAGTCATCCTCTCACTCATCCAGAAGGCCTTAGTTATATATATCAGTTCATGTGGTTCATCACAAGAATGGGTATCAAATTCGGCTCGTAATCTTAGTTCATTCAACTTTTTGTTGTATTGGGCTGTGTTCAAACGATATCAATGATGATCGTGGAACTTGGAAGTCTGCATTTTTGGTTAGAAAGAACAGCTAGTGGAGGTAGCCATTTCATATGTTTGTTGTAAATTTACTATGGAAAGATTCTTATTCAAAACATAACATAGCCAAAATAGAACACCTGTAATACTCATTTGAAATCTGACTCAAATAAAATAGAATACCTATGATACTCATTTGAAATCGGACTCAAATAGCCCATTTGAAATCTGATTCAGATATTCGGTAGAAGATCATTAAAAAGTCTTGAATCTTGTATTGTATTTATAATGTTTGAAATCTGTTTAGTTGTCAACTTCCCCCTATCTGATAGTTATATGTTGTAAGTTGTTGTTGATTTTTTGTTTAGATCACAAATAATACCAATTTCAATCTCTCAAATCTTGCTGTCAAAACTCTCTCTTTCGAAATCTCTCTACCCCGTTTTCTAAAACTTTTTTTTTTAACTGGGGATAGAGACTTGAGCATACGTCGCTTGACTGTAGGCTACGTAAGAACAAATTAACTTAACTCATTTGTTGCTGGAAAGTGAGTGTTGCACGATCGCAAGTCCGCTGCCATCAAAAGTGCCATTGTGACAAACGCATTTAGTAAGTATCTTTTTATACCACCGATCAAAATTGGTAGCAATTTACTTTCTAAATTTTTTTAAGTAAAAAATCTCTATTTTTTTTTCAAAAATATCTATGGATTCCCATTGGTTGGTAAGTATCTTACTATTTTTGAAAAAAAATATATATATTATTATTATTATTATTTTAATTAACTTTAATTATAAATTTAGTCTATCGTTTAAATTTGTGTATATTAGTATCTAAACTTACAAAAAAAAAAAAAAAAAAAAAAAAAAAAAAAAAAAAAAAAAAAAAAAAAAAAAAAAAANNNAAAAAAAAAAAAAAAAAAAAAAAAAAAAAAAAAAAAAAAAAAAAAAAAAAAAAAAAAAAAAATCTAATAAATTATTAAACTTTAACCATGTTAGCTAAACGGGGACAAAAATATTGTTAAAGCTAAACAGGGACGGAAATTCTCGTCCCATTGAAAGTTATATTGAAATTTAAGTTTTTATAAATTATATCGAACATTATATATATTTTTGTGTATTAGAATGAAAATTATATTGATAAATAATAATTATATCTCTAAAAAAAATTAAAATTAAAATTTTAAAAATATATATAAAAAAAAATAGAGAATAACTCATTTTTATAAAAATAAATAGACAAGATTATTCATCTAAATACTTTTAAAAATTTTAAAATTTGTGAGATACAAAATTGATTTAATATTTTAATTTAACCAATTAAATCTAATCTGTAGATTTAGGTGTTTGATAAGAAGAACATGTGAACCTATCTATCTATAATATATAAGAAAGGGAGATGTTCGGCAAATATTGAAATACTTTGTTGAATCAGCAAGAAATTCAGAGGTCCGCTTTACCGCCTCTCCAAGACAACTCTTCTTCAACCTCTCTTCGCGCATTCTTCTACCTCTGTCGGAGCCCTCTAATCATGATTAAAGGTTCGAACATTTCACTTCTTCTTCTACTTCTTCCTTCCTTCCTTCCTTCCATCTCTTTTACTTGCTTTCATTCCCTCTCTTCAACCACCCCAGATTTGCCGATCCTTTCGGCGCCAATGATCTGGGTCAATTTCAATTTCAATTTCAATTTCAATTTCCATCATGAGGGGCTTTGTCAATTCGTTTGTTCTCCTACTGATTGTCATTGCCTCACCATTGCTTCTTATTTGAGATCATCCCTCTTACATCGCATGTATCAATGCCCAGGATTGTAACTATTGATGTGCGTTTTTTTTTTTTTTTTTAATCTGGGTGTCTGGATGTAGTGCGTGGTTATGATTAAACGAATTGATACGCTTTTTCTGTTGCCTATGTCATGGAAAGCAATTATGATTTTGAACTTCTTGAACTGTCAAAAATCAAATGTTAACTTGAGCTTGGCTGAAGAACAGATTAGAAGCTGTAGAATTCATATTAACTTAATCTTAATCATACCCTTTTGCTGGAATTCTTTTCTTCTCTGAAAAATGGATATTGGTATTTTGTAGTGAGCGTTAAGTGGCAAAAAGAGCTGTTCCAAGATTTGGAAATCGACACCAGTCTGCCCCCATATGTTTTCAAGGGCCAGTTGTTTGAACTCACAGGAGTCCCTCCTGAAAGGCAGAAGATTATGGTTAAGGGTGGTATACTAAAGGTTACTTAACATCTCTCTATGTTTCTTAATGATAGTGTTGTTGTTGTTGAACCTTCATTCCCATTCATTTTCCAACAATATCATTGACATCTCTCTTATTTCTGATCGAATTTTCGAGACTTTCCATAGTGATTGGTAACATCTGATCCTTATATTTTCTTACCGAGCAGGACGATGCAGATTGGTCAACTTTAGGAGTAAAAAAGGTAGCCTAATGACTGTTGTTATACAACAATCTGATAGATTTTTGTGGTTCCGTCTGTTCCTCCGTTTACATACAAATTCTTTTGTAGGGTCAAAAATTAATGATGATGGGCACAGCAGATGAGATTGTTAAAGCCCCAGAGAAGGGCCCTGTCTTTATAGAAGATCTTCCTGAAGAGGAACAAGTTATTGCAGTGGTAAGGTTTTTTTTATGTTCTGTAAGTGTTAGAAATTCGTTTTAAAAAAATTATTGTCATAGAATGACAGCTATATCTCCATCTGAAAGTGTTATAATTAGGTTGATCATTGTAGAGGATAACTGGAAATATTATTTTAGGTAAGTTTGTTTACAAAGATGGACTGTTAATATGGTGTACTAAGTATGCACCTTTTACCTTTGATGCTATTTTTTACCTAAGGTCATGTTTGTCTTATGCCATGATTCATCATATTTTTTGGTCCATTCTTATAATTCATATCTACCATTGCGCCCTGACCTGTTGCCACTGATTATCATTTTACTTATAATTTTCCATCATAATGGAACCATGAGATTTAAATATATGCAAGTAATGGGTATGAAGGAACTAAGAGCTCGAGGAATAAATGAACTCTATAAATCACACAAAAGAATTGAACAGAACTCCTAAAGTAAAGCCTTCAATTGTAACAAGACATAATGAGTATTATGAATATTGGCAGAATAAGGAACCTATAATGAAACCACTGTATAGAACTCTATTTCTTCTTCATCCAGCATGGTAAGGAAGACAATAGAAACAAATTTTGCGTAGGTAAAATTGTGTAAATGAGGAAAACAATTACAACTGTGAACATAGTGGATAGGGAGGTTTTATGCTTCCTGTTAAGTCACGGTTCAAGTCCTCTTGCATTTTAAAAGTGTAAACAAGGAAACATAACCGAGAAAAAATGGTCCTAAGTTCTCCCAGCGTGTATTTTCCCAGCATCAAATGACTACCATAAGAAACTAAGAAAAAAAGTAGTGAGGCCTGTGGTTTATGGCTTCAAGGGTAACATTGGGTGCTTGCTCACAACCACAGTAGAGTGTGCCAATCTTACAAACGATGCACTAAGGTATCCACAAAAAGCTTGTGCTATCCAGGGTCTCAGATAAAACTCATCTTAATCAAATATAGATGAGGTTGCCTCTACCCCATACCATAGCTCGCAAGCCTTAGGCATAGTATGCCACTTATGCAAAAATATTTCTAATTTGTTCATCTTTTCATTCTGATTTTTCTGTATATATTCCTCTTGTTTCTTCATATTCTTCTGAACTAATTTTCTGTTTGTATAGAATAGTTCTTTGTTTTATTTGACATTTCGATGCTGAAATGTTTCTTATGATTCATGATTTTCATCCAAAATTTTGTTGTTTCAGGGCCACAGTGCTGGTTTGTTTAATTTGGGAAACACATGCTACATGAATTCAACTTTACAGTGTTTGCATTCTGTTCCTGAGCTTAAGTCAGCTTTGATTAAGTGAGTTCTTCCACCTGCTTTCTTCATGAATCTTCCTGCAGCAAAAAATATAATTGTTGGCTTGGATTAGGTACTCTAATGCTGGGCGTAGTGATGTTGATCAAACTTCACACATGTTAACTGTTGCTACCCGGGATTTATTCAGCGAGCTTGATAAAAGTGTCAAGGCAGTGGCACCTATGCAGTTCTGGATGGTTAGTGGCTTTCATAACAAATTTCAAAATTTGTCGGTTTAAGCATTTTTTTCCTTTCATATGTTGGGGTGTCAAAATAGTATGCCTATTTCTTTCAATGGTCATTTATCTGTAATTATGTTGTTTTTTTAGTATAAGAAATGAGAAAACTACTAAAAACCAAAAGGGTAAAAACAACCTAAAGGCCAGTCCATTTTCATTAGAATTCAACTTATCCTTGAAGAGTCAATCATTTCTTCCCTTCCTAAGGAGCTGCAAAACTGCTCTGGAAGTTTGATTCCAAAGTGTTCTTGCTCTGTCTTTCATACACAACCCTGAAAGGGTCTTGCTTGGGGAGCTATTTCTTTATGGTTATCTTTATCTATATTTGCTCATTGAATGATACTAATTTTTTAAGCCACTTACTAGGCCAATCTGGCAATCTTCTCAAGGTTGATGCACCCACCAGATAATAACATTGAAATTCCGTTCTTCGTTGGATTCAGATGTTCACTTTACAAAATAAATTTACATCTCTTCAATTTTATTTCATTATATATAATCATAAGATATTGGAGTTTAGTTGTAATTAACTTAGAATTAGATTTCCTAATAACTGACTTTTGGAATTATTTTTGTCATCACGGTTGTTTATGCATGAGTAGGAAATAAGTGTTTATTGTCCCATGTTTCCAGGTGCTGCGGAAAAAATATCCTCAATTTGGCCAGCTGCAGAATAGTACATTCATGCAACAAGTATCTGATATTTTGAACTTTTTTATTGCGTTCTACGAAATCTTTATATTTATATATTAATTGAAGCTTGATTTTTAACAGGATGCTGAAGAATGTTGGACACAACTTCTATACACTCTATCTCAGTCCCTTAGGTCAGCAGGTTCCAGGTAATAGCATCTTATGTTTTAGTGATTTTCTGTAATTTCATTCGGCTACACAAAATGTATGCATAAACGTATTTTTCTAATTTATACTTCCATATTCCTCTGGAATTCGATACTTCTTGAACCATGGTTAGATTGGTTTACATGCTATTTTCACGCCATGCTGAGAAACTTTTCTATGCGTTTACCATCCGGTCTCTGTTTTTGCATTCTTTTATTGTTGTTTCATCTTTCATGGAAGAATTGTGTAGTTTAATAAGAAAAATTTTCCATCTTTACTTGCAGTGAAAACCCCGATGCTGTGAAGGACCTATTTGGCATTGATCTTGTTAGCAGGTAAGGCATCTGCTAGCTATTTAATACATCGAAATAAATTCCATAAAGTGGTGGTTTTGGAGTTCACATTAATCATTATTTATCTACCTTTCCTATTCTCCTCTGCACCTGTTCAATGACCTGATAATATTCATGAGCTTATGTTTGCTTAATCACAAGTGGAAATGTATTAAGATGTCCCTCTGCATGTAGTCAGTATATTATTGACAAGAAGCACAAGTTTGTCATCACATATTGTTTTGTGGCTTACCTTGTACCAAAAGCAATATTTCATGACAATCTCCTCACCACACACACACACACACACACAACATTGCCTTAGAATTTTGTGGTGGTTCTTGCCTGATACTACCTAAATCGTTATGACCATTCCCATTGTCATTAACTTTCCTGTTTCTTTTCCTAAAAAAGAAAAAAGAAAATTGCATATAGTATTCTTGAAATTATGTATAATGTGCTGATGGTGATGATTTTATGGTGCTAGAGTACATTGTCAAGAAAGTGGAGAGGAAAGTTCGGAAGCAGAATCAGTTTATTCACTTAAATGTCATATTTCACATGAAGTGAACCATTTGGCTGAAGGATTAAAGCATGTAAGTCTTGTTAATTTGGAAATTGTTTAGTTGCTCGTAGTTGAGTGTAAATGTTTTTTTACTAGCGGTTTTCCAACTTTCAGGCACTTATATAATTGGTTGTTCTTTACTTGGGCGTTTTTTTATTGCAAATTTTTTTTTTAGAATCCGAATGTTCATTGATAAAAGTAATTAACTAAATGATCAAACAATGGGAAAATTAGTGAAAATGTTTTTTTTTTTTCTTGAACAAGATTTGAGTGGAAAGTGAACAGGGAAAATGTTTATAATATACTGAAAAGTAATAAAATTTGAATAGTTTCCATTATTTCTGATGGATAAACTTGAGTGTTGGCAACAAAATTTATATAATGTAGGATTATTTTTTGTTTCTCACTTAATAGTTGTGGTTTTATTTCTAATGATTTTATGGGGGTTTTATTTTCATTGGCGTTGTCATGGTGATTGATATCTGTGTTATGTATCTTCAGCATTATCACAATTCTGGATTTGGAGTTTCATGGGAAATCCATTTCTACATAGTCAGTCTTGTATGAAAAGCTCAGTTTGGTCTTATTCTTTTGGATTGAAGTCCTTTCTTGTTTGCAGCTGAAAACTCCTTTTGTGGATTTTTTTCCTTGTACATTCTTTCATTTTTCTCAATGAAAGTTCAATATATATATATATATATATATAATATATATGTGTGTGTGTATTTGTATGCATAGTTAAAATGTCTTAATATATAATTTAACTAAAACCACCTCATACAAGGTTGTCTATTCAATTACATAAGCTTTTTTTTGGAAGTACATTGAAAGCCCATAATTTTTAGTGGGTAGGCTTTCCATGATTTTTAAAAGCCAAGCTAGTGGTTCTGTATTAACCAGTCTTCATCGTTCAATCTGGTTTTCTGCCTACAGTAGTTCTTTATTTTTTCAGAAAAGACAATGTTTTTCATCGGTATGTGAAAATCTACCATAATGAATACAATAGTTTCTATCAAAAGCAAGACTCACCAAAAGAGTTCTTAAAAAATCTCTCGAGTTAGCATTAATTAGAAAGTTTATAGTTGTAAAAGTCACTGCCTAAGGTATCCACCTTGAATTGCTGCCACCTCTTCTGCGAGCCACATTCTAAACTACTTTGTGCCATACGTATTTGGGTTTTCTTCGGAATTCCCAACCACTTCTCCACTGAGGCTATAATTTGTAGCCTTCGGTTCCCAATTCCTAGCTCACCACCATTTCCCCCTTCAGCAAGGCACTAGAACCTCTTGACTCAGAGTCGATCTACCAAAAGTTTCTCCATTTATCAAGCTTGCTTAAGATTTTGTAGGCAGTATGTGCTGGTCATTAATAGCTTTCTTCAAGACCTATAAGTTAAGTACTCCCACACTCTTTGCTTGCTTAACTAATAATTGTATCAATAAGGAAGGCGAGAGGATGACCACTCCATTTGATTCTAACATTTCTCTATAACATTGTGCTACTCCTTGTATTAAATGAGATCTTATATATATGTGAAGATTATGCATTAACGGTTTTAAAACAAAATCTCAATGGAGAATCGACTTAATTCTCTCATGAAATTTTAGAGTTTTAATAGATGCAATTCTTAGTTTAGGATTTTAAGTGATATAACCCCTAATGTTTACGAGTACCCATTCATTTTTTCCCGTTTCATAATTACTCATCTTTTTGGCACTTACTTTTTATATATTCTCCCCTAATTTCGTAGCTATAGCCTATTACTGTTGTAGCCCAAGGACAGTGTTCTTTAGCGATTCCTTCGGATAGGGGTTGATCCCCACTTTCGTAATTTCATATCATCGATAAAGAAAAGGAACCTATAAGTTGAGTGAGCAGTTGGCGTCGACTTTGAAATCTGGTATTTCAATGTTTTGCCCTGAGTGCAGTCTGAAGTTCTTACTTGTCTCTAAGATTTTTCTTAGCAAATAATGATTATATTTTTGTTATTTCATATTCTTTTATCAAAAGTACTGTCACTCTTAGAAATCTTCCTCCTGAGAATTGTTTTTGCTTCGAAATGGTGCAGGGTTTAAAATCAGAAATAGATAAAGTGTCTCCTTCGCTGGGGCGCAGTGCAATTTTCTTGAAGGAATCTCGTATAAATAGCCTCCCAAGGTAATCATAATCTTTTTAAGTTTAAAGTTCTATTTAGTTCTGCTTTGCTTGCTACACATCTTTCCGGTGGGAAATCTACCAGGTCTAATTTTATATTAGCGTATAGGAAATTTTGCTCTCAATGTAATGTAAATTTATGCTCTAATTTCAAGGTACTTGACAATTCAATTTGTCCGCTTTTTCTGGAAGAGAGAGTCGAATCAGAAAGCCAAAATTTTGAGGGTAATGCCACTAAATTTTTTACTTTAGTTTAAATTTCCGTACAATATTCCATAATTTTTTAGCTCAACTTTCATTTCAGAAAGTGGATTATCCTTTGGAGTTGGATGTGTTCGATTTATGTTCGGATGATCTTCGCAAACAATTGGAAGCTCCTAGACTGGTATAGTTTCTGACCTATGGTCTTTGAGGAAGAAACTTATTGATAGTTTATAGTCGATGATCTTACGAGTTTTCGTTTATTGAAATATAGCTTTTAAGGAACGAGGAAGGCAAAAAACTCGGTCTGAAACCAAAAGAGAAGACTTCGGATTCAGCGGACAAGGATGTAAAGATGTCTGATGCAGAAGTGAGTTAAAACTCCATTGGCAACCTTTGATAATTATATTTGGACTTTCTTTTGACTTCCAAATCCTGAACTATGTAGGGAACATCTACTGGGAATGATGCACAATCAAGTGTGACACCTCAAGAAGGTACCCTTTTCCGAAAAGTGGAAATTTCACTTTGTGTTCAATCGGTTCTTACGTTCTTAGTTCGTACGTTCTTTGACGATCACTTTTTGATGATTATCTATCTCAGATGCCCCTTCTGACAAGGAAACACAAATGACTGGAATTTATGATTTGGTAGCTGTGTTGACCCACAAGGGAAGGAGTGCAGATTCAGGACACTATGTTGCCTGGGTCAAGCAAGAAAGCGGTTCGTCTTTTAGATTGAGTAGTCATTTTCATTAATTACTACATATTAGCTCGCTCCGAATACGAACGATCATGAACGGTTTTCAATTGGCTACAGGGAAGTGGATTGAATATGATGATGATAACCCCATTGTACAGAGAGACGAAGACATCTTAAAGCTATCTGGTGGAGGTAAGGCTTCCTGGGCTATTTTAGCAACTCATTAGAAATGGATTCATCACGGACTGCTAGATAACGTCTTGTTCTGGTTATCGTTTATTTCAGGTGACTGGCATATGGCATATATTTGCATGTACAAGGCTCGTGTTGTCCCTATGTGATATCAATTACATTCATATTTAATGGCGAGAGCTTCCATGGTTGGCTCGATGCTCTGTATCAGCTTGGCAACTTGAAAGCAAACTGGTCTGGTTAGATATTTTTTAGAAGCAAATACGTTATGTTTAAATGTGTGGATCATTGGCACTGTTTGATTTACCACCTCACTTTCTATCTGTTTGGAACACTGCAATTATGCAATTAGATTTTTCCCGCTTTATTTATGAACAGGGAAACCAAGTAGTTTTGCTTAGCTTGTGGTGTTTTTCTTTTCTAAATCTTTTGGTGCACATAACACTAAACTAAACCTTAACGGCCTAGATTAGATTTTGTCCGTTTTAGCTCGTTATGTATATTCTCAGTTTTAAAACACGCCTGCTAGAAAGAGGTTTTTATACCCTTATAAATAATATTTCATTTTACTCTCTAACTAACGTGGGATCTCACATGACAGCTTAGCGCTTTGTTGGCATGTTTACCTCTCTAACCAATATGGGATCTCACTATCCATTCTCTCTTGGTAGCTCAGTGCGTTGTTGGCACACCGTCCGGTATTCGGCGTTGATACTATTTGTATCAAGTCAAAGCAGTATATCTATCAATAGTAGGTTTGGGGCTGTTATAAAACCGAATCAACCAAGCTAATATAATTGGTTCTAAAAAATGCTTTTGGTTCTGATTCTATTTGCATAAATAAAAAACTAACAATAAGATGATTGTGGTTCTATTTGCATAAATAATAAGATGATTGTTTTCTTTTTGGTAAAAATTTGGAAAAGCTTCCACTAAATTATTTGGACTATGAATCTATGATATTGACAATTTTGTCCATCATGGAGTTAAGAATGAGACAATTGAGAAGGATTGATAGTGATCGCTCGCTCTTGAATCAGAGATGGATTTAAATGGATTGCATATTACAGGAGATGAGCCAAAAACGACCTATGTGACAAGCAAGCAAGCAACCAACCAACCAGACTAATGAAGGGTCGATTTGGTTGTCTTTTAGACTCACCAATGCCCTGCCCTATTATGAACCCTATACAATGAGCTATTCTATCCGTACTTAGACAACAAGTAATATACTTGACAATAGCTATTCATTAAATGACCACATTAGCCACAGCTAGACCGTAAGGTCAGGTATTACGGAAGAACCACCTCATACATTTATGTTTGGAAATTATGAAGTACTCATCTATTTTTCTTGCCTTCTATCTACTTTTAATGAGCTAATAACCCATATAAGGGAGCACATAATCAAAGAAATGACATACAATAAGATAATGTGGATCAAACAAGTGAGAAAGAAGCAATGAAAAAATGATGGTGCAAGTTTATAAAAAGTAAAATCCCAACAAAGATTAAGAATAAAAACTACACTTTCTTTTTGGTGGTCATCTTAATAAACCTAGTTGCGGTTGTTGCAAATATTGAACATTGGTTTATAGTATTTGTTGTAGGAGAGCTACAATCACATTCTTTTTTTCCTTCATGGCTCCAACCCAAAACAATCTGAAACATAACTCTGCATCTTCTCTTTCACAAGAAGACACTGCGGCGGAATCAAAAACAGTGAAAAAGAAGAAACTAAATAGTTGGGGGTTGAGGAACACCAAAATGAGATGCAGCCACTGCAAATAAATCAACATAAACCTTGTGTGGAGGATTGTGTGGCAGCCACCTCTGCTGCATCTGGGAATGATACCAAACGCACGTTCGGTAAGTCTCTGGGCTACGTATGTCATGATGTCGAGTACTTGCAAAGCTTACGAATCCAATGGCTGGCAGGAAATGGGAAAATAGCTTTCTCCAAGAGAGACTCTTGAGAAAGTCGACTGAGCAAATACGTTTCTTGCTAAACCACGTTTACGCATAGTACATGTACAAGCTGTTAGCAGCAGCGCAGGCGATCGAGTTCTCAGTTGGGTGCCAAGCTAAATGCAGTAACTTTGTTGTGAAATCAAATGAGTTTCCATTTGCATCAACCCCAGGGCTCTCTGATCCTGCTATGGGAATGTAAAATAAACTGTATGCCACAAAACTTGAATTCATAATTTGGTTTGTTAACAAGTGAAAAGCGAAGAAAATACGAACCTCGTCTTACAACTCGTGTTATACTACTGCTTAGAGATCTGGCAGGCCTTGAAGGGGTCTGAACTTGACGCCTGCACGCAAAATCGAACCTTGCATAAGCATCGCGTAAATCAGATCAAATCACACTCACAAAAGATTACCTCATTGGATTTTTGCTAGCTTCTAAAGTTGTAGCCTCTGTACTTCCCGATACACAGCCGAACACGCGGAATAAATTACTGAAAACAACAATGTGCATAAAATGGTTTATGTCCCAGAAAAGAAACGGAATGTAGAGTTTTCTACGGAGGAGCGCTTACCTGTAAGAGCCTGTAGCTAATCGCAATCCATCTCCACTCAAACAACACTCGAACTTATCGAAGATTGAATCATTTTCATAAAGGTCACAGAGCTATATGAATATTCAAAGAAAAACGCCGTCAAGATAAAAGATCGCAGCGTATTAAATATTCAAATCTGGGTTTAGAGGCAGATGATTCAACCTTAGGTCTTAAATATTCATGAACCTGAAATGCTGCAACTGGACCAGAATCCATATTAATATCCCACAACTGCAAACAAGTAAACAACTCACTTCATAACAAGATAAATAGTGCAAACAATCTAAACTTTGTTGACTTTATTGAAATTTCAAAATATGCAAGCAAAAAGCCACTCAAGAACTTCGCTAAGAGTGAATATAAAATTGCTTAATAATGCATAGACTAAGAATGGAATTCAATAAAAAAGAAGCAAAGGGTACAAAATCTGAACCAAAAACAAGAGGAAGCAAGTGATCTCGGTTTGAAGGACCTTTATAGAACGAAATGAACATGCTATCAAGGACGACAATGAAGAATAAGTCCACAAGGCCAACATAATTGAAAAGCTGACTATACTATAGAGGGCATTTATAAAGATCTAGCAGCCCAAGAGATGAGTTTTAAAGAAAAAAAACTTAAGCACGACTATCTTTTGAGTTGTGACACTACCAGGCATTAACTCTACCTCAGAAAAGTTGAAAACAACAGGAGTCTTCCCCTGAAAAATACTATTAGTAAGGCGCCGGGGAGCCTTAACCAAATGAGTTTTCTATTGATATTGGGTCCATCACAATTGAAGTAGACCAGTTAGTAAAAACGAGAATAGGGACAACGCTTTCTCCAATATACAAACTCCTCAATAAAGCGGGGATTTTGAAATAATAATAATATAAAAAAATAAAAAGGAAAAGAGGAGGTCGCACTTGCAATCGCAGAAGTCGGGTAATTTTAACTGGCTCGCACAGACACACACAAACACGTCCATTAGAGAAAAAAACACCCCACAACTCATAGTGAAGCAAAAATAGAAAAGACTGAACAGAAGAACAGTGATAATTGAATCCACCCCTCCAACATCCAGATCAAAAGAGTATCTAATTTATACGAATAGATCTTCCATAAGATTATATCTCCAAATTTCTAACTATATGCTTTCTTGACACGCCATTCCAAAATTGTTGCAGATCTAGTCTTGTGGGAAATTTTTAAATGCACATGAAGTAAGAAAGCTTTGTAGGATAAACTAGCCCCACATGTACATTCATGAGCCAAAAGCTACCTACCCTTTTTTATCAACCTAAATGATAAAATTGCAACATAGTTGGCGCATATCACTATCAAGAAGAAAAATGAAAACCTTGAGAGTCATGTAATCACGACTAAGAATGTATCTTCCTTCCTTTCCAAACTTAATATCAGAGATTGAAGCAATAATCTCAGTGAAAAAGGATCTAGAACCAGGTGCTTCCTGCTCCTCAAATCTGCACCCAATTGAAATTTCTAATGAGTTCTCAGGTCCACAGGGTACTTTTCAATATGAAGGATATAAAGAAAAACCAGAAGCACTTACAATTTGGCATGAGAATCACATAATGCCGACTGCCGCAAATCAATTAGGCGGATGGATCCTTTTGAACTGCTGTATGCTAACATATTGCAATGAGTAGGATGAAACTCTGCAGACGTTATCACCTCTACAGAAGCACAAGGGAAATTTAGAATCCAAAGTTTAAAATTATAAAACTAAAAACAGAAGTTGAAAGAAAGAAAAGAGAAAAGAGAAAAAAAAATGCTGGGAATGAATGCATGATTATACAAGTTACACTCCGCAGAAGCCCAAAGTCAGGGAAAAAGAACATATCAATAGGAATATACAAAAGTTGAACGTAGGCTGGCTTAAATAAATTTGTAATGGCTTGACCCTTACTTTTCTTTCTCCCTTCATTTTTTTCCTTTTATCCCATGAGAACCAAAAACGCCTGTCATAGGAGGCCAGGACTCCTGGCCTCTTTCTGATGACAAGTGTGCTAAATCTTCTCCACTAGCCCACGAACTTTGTATATATTTCATGTTTAGTGGTAGTCTGGTAATGAATAAGATGAAGATATTTAAAACAAAAGCCTGATTCTGAGGATGTTAGTAAATAATCATACAGAGTTAGTTTGTGAGAGTCTATAGGACCCATCCCGTTTCCATTACTTTCATTAATAGAGAAAAGTATTAACTTAATATTTTAAATTCTGTTACTCTAATATCAGCCACCAGAAGGAATGTCAAACCCTACTGACCAGAATTCAACACCTTACCAGTCAGATCCTCCATGTTAGCAGGCTTGACATCAACAATGTTGAAACTTTGACTGCTAATTTCCAAGTTCCAAAGATTTATCCGCAGATCATCAGCTGATATAAAAGTTTCTCCATCACTATAAACACAAGACAAGAGAACATAATTGGTTACTAAAACCATGCGAAAAAACAAGACACCGAAAATGGAGAGCATATTTCTGCAAATAAATCATAAAATGAACTTCTGATTTTCTTTTTATTTAATGAACCTAGTTTGCAGTAGTAAGACTTCCATCACTAAAAACATTAAAACAATAAACACATACATACATGGTCATGTGAGTTTGAGCACAAAGATATTGAATTTCATGACTCTGTACATGTACGATACACACACATAAATATGGACAAACGAAGATATGAAGAAAATTTTGACAGAAAACCAGCTTACACTACTAAGGTAAGAAAAAATCTAACCAAAATGAAATATTGCCAGTGTATATTTCCGTTTACAATTCAAGGGTTAGAATATAAGTGCTGCCATCATGCATTATTTGAAATTGAATGATTCATTAACTTATATATATAGTTTAAGCTAATGAGAGTTGGGGAAATTTAATGTGGTATCAAAATAAGAGATTCCAACTTCAACTCTCTGCATTATGACTATATTTTTCATCTCTATCATAATATAATTAATCTATGTCTTGAGCCTCTTTAATCACAATAATATTTGAGCACACACAACGAATACTTCAAAATGCGAAGTTTGTTATTGGTTCAACAAAGAAGCCCCATCTCTGCATGTTACTGTTGTTTATAACAATCCTTGGCATTTCATTGCCAAGTGCTAGATAGCTAATTGTAGAAAGGTAATAGTTCGGCAGGTCTAACACATTTCTTGGGAGGGTTCATTTAGTAATTCTCATATTTGCCTATTGCGGTCAAGACTTTATACTGTACTTGAAAGCAAGGAAAGAAAAACCAAGACTACTGGGAGGTAGATCTAAAGAAAAAATGTTCAACTTTGGAAGTAATCATAGAGGTGGATGAATGGCTCCCTCTTTTTGAGTTTGGTAAAAGTTATAGGCCTTTCAGTGCCCAAAATTCCAGGAATTGGTGGCTAGACAAATTTAGGCAGTTTCCTGTCAATCTTAATTCAATAATTTGATCCTATTTCATTATTTAAATAGGTGGTTTAAGGCCAAAGGGCTAAAGTAGGTAGAAGCTTTTTCAACTCCTCATTAAGAGTCTTAATACCCATGATAAGATACAGGATAGACTCCTCATGATAAGGTACAGAAAAGAAATTATTCCATAATTTGTAGAGAATAATGTTGAGGATGCTGATAAGTTACAGCTCTCGTTCCCTGGAAGCTTTGAAGATTTTTTCCCTTCATACATTGTCTAGCCATCTGTACGTTTTACTTCATGGAAAATGCCACCAGGAGGGATTTGGAGATTACAACTGAGAAATTTCAGGGACCTGTGGGATGTTGTTAGAACTTTATCCTGTGAATGGTGCAAAGTTTTACAAAACGGTTCGATGTAACTATACCACTTTAACAAAACTTTTAGTCCACAATATCTTTTATTAACAACACTCTTTCTAAGGATTATATTAACACCAATAAATGGGATCATCAAAAGGTCAGATTTTTTTGGAGGAAGATGCGGAGTCAGATAAGGATTCTGTTAAGTCTTAGTGGTGATGATTTGGAGTTCAATTTTCCAATTGTTAATGGGTATGAAAAGGTATCCGATGAAGCTTTTGATGATGAAGATTTTGAAGAAACTTTTTTGTTCTACTTTTCATAAAGAAGAGCTTAATTCACCTATCACAATAGATGAGAAAGAAATTTTTCTTCCATTGGTTTTCAGTTATTGGGTGAAGTTTCTGCTTGGGGTTTTCTTCGGAGTTGAGTTTGGTGTTGATAGGGATTTTGGTTGGTTGTTTTCTTCTTCCTTTCCTGACTTGATGTTTCAAGCTGGTTTGTGTAGTTTCCGTTTTCTTCCGTGATTTGAGGAGCTTTCCATTAAAGTTTCAGCTTTTGTTTGAAAGCCAATTTCTTGTTACTTTTATCTACTAGCCATGTTCCCGAATTTTGTTTGGTTTGTTTTGTTTTGTTTCTTTTCAGGTTCTTGTAATCTTTTACCGTTATACTTTTCCTTCCCATTTTGGAAGTATGTACTTTCGAACTCTTTTCTTTTTTATAAATCTTTGAAAAGTTATTCTCTTGTTTACACGAAAAATTATACCCCTATAATAAGAGCAAATACTTGTGTGCTAAATACAAGGCATAAATAAAATCAAATACCAACATGCTGATACAATTTAGCATGATTCTTAGTGCCAAGGTTACCGAAGAAGTATAACAGAACATACTTATGAGAAAAATTGGATTCGAGTGAAAGACACCAAACCTATTATTGGAGATGGAGTTGATGTGATAATCATGAGCATGGCCATACACTCTTCGACATCTTGCAACCAGGTTAGTCTCGTGGGTAGTTACCTGCAAAACTAGTGACTTAAGAACTCGAGCAAAAAAAATAAATTAGGCCTTTCGTTTTTTTGTTTCTGTTTCTAAAATGCATGTTTATTTCCTAACATTTTTCTCCATTTGTAAATTACTTCTATATGCCTCGCCAAATTTAAATAACTGGAAAAAAAAAGCTACAGAATATCTACTCTTGATTATAAAAACTAGTAAAGTAATTGATAAGAGACAACTTCACGGATGTGTGAAATTCATGACGATTACAAAAGGCTATCCCACTTTGTTAAAAGGGAAGAGTGGCTATAAGAAGAGAAGAGAGCAGACAATTTACAACAATTGTCATCATAGAGATGTACTTTTAAGGAAAATAAAAAAATGTCATCGAACAAGACCTTATTAAAAAATAATCGATAATGAGTAAATGTATGCCCAAACTACTAAAATGAATAGCACTGTCATGAATGGAATGAAACTAAAAGTAATTTGAAAGAACATAAATACACGAGAGTAAGGGCATACCACTGGTAAGCGCAGCGATTGTATGCCCCTTGCTGGAAATGAAGGGTCATTACTCGGATATCGGTCTGGGGATCCTCCATTTGCAAGATATGGTCCAGAGCTACTTGAGTTGCTCGAGCTAGCATTGCTTCCATTTCCAACAGGTTTAGAAGGATCCACATTCATGGTGGAAACCTTTTTGACCTTCTTTTCTTGCACCTGATCAACACTCAGAAGCAAAAGTAAGAAGTAAATAGACAAAATGGGTAAAAAGGTTACAAAAGGACAAATATAAGTGAAATGGTTAATTTTCCATGAGTGCGTGTTTGGTGGGACGAGTGGGGGAAGATAAAGGGCTTTCGACTAGTTTAAAAATAATCTAAATTTTCATTATTGATGAACTCAAGAGAATGTCTTCATGCACTAAAGTCAAATTTTGAAACGGGCAGACATGATAATCTGATATCGTCTTCTGCTGGTATCTACAATAATTTACCGAACTATAAAAAAATGAAGCTTTAAATTTCACCACTTCAAAAATTTATGCAACCTTACAGAATAAGTAATCTTACGATAACACTGAATAACCTCCAGAAATATGCTGCCAAGATATTGGATATAATTGCTAAAACATTTAATCGAGTATCGAATCTGTGTTCCCACGTGATACAATAACGTCAAACATAAGCAGTATCCTACCTTCCAATACTTGATTGTTTTATCATTAGTAGATAAGAGAAATAAGGCACCATTAGCTGGCTGGCACCATCTGATTTTGTTAATTTTTTCCTCAATTTCCAAACTCTTCAGGTAGTCAAACTGATAAAAGCAATGCAAAAGAAACATAAATATAAATGTAATAGAATCCGTTCATATAATGTATCTAAGTAACAATCACAAAACTAATGGTGGAGAGAATACCTCAGGCTCATGACTCTGAAATTCTGTCTTATAACGAAACTCGGGATGCCTACTAATTGCATTATCCATCCTCTCTAAATCCCTTCTTGATGCACCATGCTACACGTTAAATCAAAAATAAATAGATAAATGCGAAAGAACATGAGAGACGGGGAGGGGGAATAACAATGCAACCATGATTCCAAGAGACAAACATCTTTGGTATCTGTCCTCTCAAAGAGTACCACCCGGCCACCACGGTCACCAGTAGCAAGATGATCCCCACTTTTATCAAATTCAATTGCTGAAATGATATCGACTGCCAAAAAGGAGGTGAATATAAAGCTTCAGAAATTCAAACATCGAGGAACGAAGATAACCGAACCATGAAAATTGCATGCATCAACTAGTTGCTTTTAAACTGACTAAACAAACTTGGTTAAGATGAAAAAGAATTAAAACACGAGAGCTACTACATCTAACTCTACATTGTAAAATATTGTACATCCAAGCAGCCAAAAACCATTGCAGAGATGAACGGATACAGATAGTTTGAGTTGATGCGAAATACCCACCATCATAATAACTTGAATGTTCGATTTAAAAGCCAAGAATTCGAATGAAAACACAGAAGATGAACAAGATTTTTAACAAGCCTGATAATTCACCACTACCTTCATATAGCAGGGTGAGGGCCTGCAACAGGGATCATTATCTCAAGGAATGCTATAGCTATGAAAAGGAAAGAAAGCGAAACAATGAGACAAGCAACAGTTGGGCTGCAAAAGACAATGGAAGCTTGAAGACTGCCCAAGAAGCATCTTCCACAGATAATGATGAACGTAAAACGAGAGAGACGTAGACGAGAGGTTTGGAAAATAAGACTTTCAGTCCTACTAACACAACAGCTAAGAGAGGCAGAAGTATAAACAATTATAAAGAAAGGCTAAATACCATTTTAGCTTTAAATATGCATACAACACCATGTTCCAAAAGTGGACTGTGAGCATAGAAACTGCAAGCTGCTGAATGGCTGCAGGGTGACAGTTGTTGGTTCATCAAAGGAAATTCAATACACTTGTATGTCATATTACTCGCATTCTAGTTTCACATCAGCAATGTAACAAGCCAAACCAAGCTTCAAAGCTAGCAAACCACGACTCAAGATTCTACCTATTGGAGGAATATCCAGAAAAAACAGGAACCAAGCCTTTGTCAGGCCTTTGTCAGGCTTCCTTGTGACCAGAAAGCTAGACCGTTTACGCTAAAATTATCCGATTCTCAACGATGGTTCGAAAAGGGGATCAAGGAGTTACTCCACACAGTTAAGCAATGCTCTTTGCATTCACTTACTATCAAAAAGAGGAAAATCATAAGGCTAGAAAGTGCATGCAGTAAATTCAGCCCAGAAACCAGAAGCGATTCCACAACTCACCCACCGGGCTTAGGTTAGAAGCTTCTTACTAATCCTATAAACACAAGGAACAATGCTGCACAGCCTTACAGGCATCTCAACTATCAGACTCAACTCCCTCTCATTACAGAACAAAAACAAAAATTCCCAGCAAATAAACATCAAACCACAGATAAACTCACAGGTCCAGGAAGAAACGAAATAGAGATCCGCAACAGGAATACCAAATTAAAAGAACAACTTACAATCTGAAACAGATCGGAGGCCTGAAAAAAACCCTAAATGCAATGGATTTACTAAATTTGAATTGGATCGAGAAACCCCAGATGAAAAGAAAAAAAGAAAAAAAACATTGGAAATTAGAGTATAAAGTGAATAGTACCTTCCTGAACTTCTTCACCGGCTGTACGCTCCCCAAAGACCTGAGAGAATTTCCAGTCCAGCGGCTGTGGCGGGGCGGCCGGAGCTGCAATGACCTCATTACCACCATTCATTTCACCAACAAAAACACAAATCGAAGCAACCCCAGATAGGAAAAATCCAAATCCACCAAATCCAATCAATGCATCGAAGATCCCTGTCTGGGTTTACAAAAACCACAGCTTGGAAACCCCGTCAAACGATTTCCGAAACCCAGAAAAACAAATTCGAAAAACCAACAAAATAAGACAAAACAAAAAGGGCAAATCTAATTGTTGCTATAGATTCCAATCAAAAACCATCGCGAACTGGGAAAAAAAGCCCAATTCCCCTGCGCCTCCCACAACTTTTCTCTCTGTCTCTCTGTCTCTCGCTCTCTCTCTCTCTCTCTCTCTCTCTCTCTCTCTCTCTCTCTCTCTCTAGAAGGATAAAAACGGGATTAAAAGCTCAGCAAACCGTCCAAAGACGAGAAGGAAAAATAATGAAAAAAAAAGCTCACAGATTCATAAAGTTACAAACCCCAAAAACATATACACACCAAGTCACCAACACTCGCTCTTCCTTGTTCCCTGTGGATCAATAATGGCCGTTTTTTCTCATAAATTTTAGCTTATAATTCTCCTTATAATTTTCATCAGCGTCACAGAAGTGTATCCCAATCAGCCCTTCCAGTTCGTAATGATTGAAGATCAACGTCAAACAAAGGGGCATCAATCTCCTTGGAGCGTTACATTCCTCAAACATCTCCTCCTAATTCAAGTTAATTTTTGTAATAAATTAAATTTATCTATCAAAATACCCCTAAAATATAAATATAAATATTTAATAATGTTAATAATTCAATTTTTTTAATTGTTTAGACCTCGCGAAATATATAATTTTTAATTTAAATATTTGTTTTTTTAATCGATATTTTCATCAAAATTTATACCAATAATACACAAATCCTACGTCTTTTTATATGTAAGGGTGAAGATCCAACCCATTCACTTTTAGTCAAAGATACAGCGTCTTTTAACCAGCTAACGATTTTAAAATTTACCTAATTTTGCATATTTATTTAAGAATTAAATTTTTTTTTTTGGTACATAACAATATAAATGAAAAAATATATATAAATTTATTAAAATGTTACTATAAGATTTATATATTTGATTAATTGAATTATGCTGATTACAAAAACAAAACAAAAAAACATATATTGAGCAACCTAATTTTTAGGGTGTGAAATGACATGAATGCCCAAAGTTTCCTGTATTTAATTTTCTAAATTATTTGGAGAAAATTGTAAATTACTATACTAGTAAGACAAAAGGCAGTCGCGTTCACAGAGTAGAAAATAATAAATAATATTATCATTGTTTTATATTAATTATAAATTGATATTATATTTGTTTTCTTATTTCAAGGTCACCAACCCTGCCATTCTTGTATTAGAAAATTCAAATGGGCTAGATTTATTTAAGCCCATATACGGCCCAAAATTAATAGAACGGCCCACAAAGACCCATGCCATTCCACAATGGACCGGCCCATTTTCGATTGATCAGAAAATACCAGATGACAGGTTGAAGCCCATGGGCTGACACATTGTTTTATAAATTATATATATATATATTTATCTATTTTTATTTAATTTTATAATTATTTGTTTATTATTTATTCTCAAACAAATATTTAACAAAAATATATATTGAATTGAGATACAAATCTTAATTAAATGTTTAACGGTAAATTGAGATACAAATCATAATTATTCAAATAAATAATTATAGAGGGGATAAAATTCTTTTCATTAATTATAGAATTAAAAGACGAGATTTATATAAATATAAACATATATAATCGAAGTTAATAACACAAAAATAATTTATTATATATATATATTTCTTCATTTAAAAAAGAAAATAAGTAATATTAAAATTTGTGATTTTAGAAATTATCTTAAATATTATATTTGTTTATGAAATATTATGATATCTTTTATTTTTTTAATAGAAATTATTAATTAAAACATTATGTGAAATTAATATTTTATTTAAAAATGAAAAAATAAAAAACGTGGAGACTCGATTTTCATAAATTCCTCTCAAAATACAATAACATGTAGAATTTACTAGTATCGTGTTTGATTTGTTAACGCTCGACATCTTTCTCTTTGCAAAATTTTGAGAAGTTATAAGATAAGAACTCGTCACCTCAATCAGTGCACAAGGTTTTCTGTTTGTGATCGGACCCATTTTCAACTAGTATTTTGAATTTCTTGAACACATATAATGTCTTTCATCTTTTCTCCGAGCATGTATACCCAAATTGAACGTGTCAATAAATAAGAAAAAGTACTTATTATTAGCAATCGACGGTGGAGTGATCGGACCACATAAATCTACATGCACCCGTTACATTGATCGCTCAACACAAAAATTGGTTTGAGCCAGAAACGACAATTTTGTTTGTTTGGAGACTAGGCAACTTCCACATAGTCCGTTCAAGTGTGATTTTGGGTAGCCTCAAAGCCATCTTCTTCTCTACCACAGTTTTGAGCGCATGAAAATTTACATACTTAAGTCTTACATGTGATAGTTAAGTTCGATCTGTGAGTGCCGTCTATAAAGAAGTGAGTGGCATCAACCGATGTTTTAACGGTTGAATAATTAAATAATTGTTATTATTTTATTTTTAATAGTTTTATAAAAAAATTTATTGACCAAAATAAATAATATAATTATTTATTTTATCACATAATTCACACATGAAAATAAAGAAGCGTGTAGAAGTAGAATTATTATTATTATTATTCATTTTTCAACTTGTCTTATAATTTAAGCATTTGAAAAAGAATGGGATTTTTTTTTTATTTTTTTTAATGAGAAAAAGATGAGAGAATATAACATTAAAAAGATATATCTAGAAAAAGTAATTTAGAATAATATAAATAGAGAATAATTGAATAAAAATTATAGTACAAGGAATATGAGATGCGTCTAAAATCACCAATTAATGGCATATTCTCCCCCATTTTGATGCCCATTTAATGCTCAATATGTTTAAAATTTTAAATTTTAATTTTATTCTTATAGTTTTAAAATTTAATTAGTATATTGAGCTGATTTAATTAAATTATAAAGATTACAATAATATATTCTTTTTATTTAAAAAAATGTAGAAAAAACAAACAATTTTAATTTCACTTTCTATTCTCTTTTTATTTTTTATTAACCTTTAAATTCCAAATGTTTTATTAATACCCTTAAAAAAAATAATAAAAAATTAACTTTTTTTATAAAATAAATTTTTTTAAATATCTTTTCTATTAAAGTTCGATTAAAAAAAATACTTATTTACTTTCTAAATCAACCTTACAAATTTTGGACAATAATTTTTTTTTAACTTTTTTTATAAAAATAAAGAATGTTAAGATTATTTTATTTTATTTTTTTTTTTAAATGAAGAGTATCATTAAAACTTTTTAAAACTTTTAAGTATTTTTAAAATAGAAGTTTAATAATTTATCAAATAAAGTGCTTGCTTACCTCCAAATTAATAATAAAAATATTTATTATATTTTTAAAAAAAAAAATAAGGATATATTAAAAATTTTAAAAATTTATGAATATTTTTTAGACAAAATGATGGATTTAAATGAATGTTTTTTTCCTCATACTCGAAAACCTCTCTTTTTCCTATAGAGCTTTGTGCCACACCACTTTCGAGAGTGAAACGAAGGAAAAACATGGCTTGATCTTATTGTTAGGTCAGCTCCAATCAATGGAATTTTCTTAATCTTCCTTTCCCGAGAGCAAAAAGTGGGACGGAAAATTCTTTTTCCTTTCTTCTCCAAGGACCCCGAGATTTGAAAAAGGACAAACTACTTAAATTATTAATTTGGTAAAAAAAAAAAAAAAGTGTTGAACTGGCTTGACCGGTGGCAGACGCGCAATGACCCATCGTTTTTGGAGTTCACGTGCGACGGCTTCCAAATAGAACAGCGCCCTGGTTTTCAACTAACAAGACTCTGCCACGTGCGTATGCATTCCAACCATTAAAAATAATAATAATTTATTTATTTAAATTTCAATTAGCGCTGCTTTGATTAAAAAAATAAAAAAAAATGTTGAAGCCGCGTGGATTTAAATATAATTAGCACCTCAATTAACAATTAAGATTCAATTAATGACAACCAAAAGTTGACCAACGTAGTTAAGAGGATTATCCCAATACGTGGGAGCTTAATCACGTGCTTAAATCAATTTTAATATTTTTCATTACTCTAATCCTCCACTTAACTAAGTTGAACATAGCAGTATTTCTCTTAAAGTTGAAGGTTCAAATCTACGTACCTCGTTTGATCTTTGAAGTCATGTTATTCGATTTGTGATATGTTTAAGCTATTAGAACTTCTCTCGTATAATCAGTAGAGGTATTCATAATAAAATAGTCGGTACGATATGAATATTTACGATCAATAAATATTAATATATATATATATATATATATATATATATACGCAGAATAAGCACGTATTAAATGCAATAGAAACCCAATGCATAAATAAAAAAATTAATTAATTAACACATATATTCTTTTATCATAATAGTAATTGTTCAAGTTCATTGCTAGTGGATATTGTTATCTTTGTGTTTTTCGTTTTAGGGTTTCCCTCAAGATATTAAAATGCATCTATGAAGAGGGTATAATCTTGCTATAATCAATGCGTCTGGTGACTAGTTTTGATACCTTTTGTAATAGCCCAAGCCCACCACAAATAGATATTGTTCTCTTTGGGTTTTTTCTTCCACGATTCCCCTCAAGATTTTAAAACATGTCCATTGTGGAGAGGGTCTAGCCCTACTCCAACTAGTGCACCATGACGATGATTAGTCATGATATCATTTGTAACCGTTCAAGCTCATGTTAGCAAATATTGTCATATTTTGGATTTTTGGTTCAAGGGCTTTCCCCCAAGATTTTAAAATGGGTCTGCTTAAGAGATGTATCCATACCGTTATAAGAATGTCTCGTTTCTCTCTCCAACCAATGTAGTATGTTTTTATCGACATATTTCTATCGTATTTAATAGGGAAGTGAAGTCCACTAAAAATTTTAAGCCACGAGAGTAGATAACGTCGAAAAATTAATAAAAATAAATAATTAAAAAAAATTGTATTTTAAAAAAATATAAAAGAGAGTAAAAAGGAAGGCACCCAAAAGGAATAAAAGGGAATATATTATTTAGCAGCCACGAAAATGAGGGAAGGAAGTAGGAATCAGCCACAGGCACTCATAACGGAATATTCTTTGATTCATAAGGCTAAGGGATAGTGCGCTTCTTGCTTCGAAGAATATTCTCATATTCCACTTATTTATTCTTTTATTTCTTTCCACTTATCTCAGCCGTTAGATTTCCCTCCATCCAAATCTCATCAAATCCAACGGTCCACATGCCTATCCTTTTGATTTCTTTCTAGTTTCCCTCCACAAGCCACTATAAATACCGCCCTCTGCCCGTTCTGTTCTGCATCAGACAAACGTTTTCTGAAGAACGAAGCAGTTTCTTAGAGTTACAGGAATTTGGAGATAAAAATGGCTGGAATCATCGTTGTTTTTGACTTCGATAAGACGATCATCGACTTGGATAGTGATAATTGGGTGGTGGATGAACTCGGTGCCACCGATTTGTTCAACGAACTCCTCCCTACGATGCCATGGAACTCTCTCATGGTAGTGTATTTTTTTGTTTGTGTTCGTTCTTTTTTGTATGTTCGGTAGTGGTGTAGAGATTTATGTTGTGGATTTCAGGATCGGATGATGATGGAGCTCCATGCACAAGGAAGAACCATTGACGAAATTACTGAGATCCTCAAACGCGCTCCGATTCATCCCGACGTTGTTCCTGCCATTAGAGCCGCTCACGCCATAGGGTAAAGAATCGTAGAATCTCTATCTGTTTCTCTTTTTCCTTTTTTGTTTATGTTTTTATCTCTCATTGAGTTATAGCGGCTGAGATTTTGTGTTCGGTGTGTGTTTCTGTTTTTCAGATGTGATTTGAGGATTGTGAGTGATGCGAATATGTTTTTCATCGAGACGATTTTGAATCATCTCGGAATAAGAGAATGCTTCTCCGAAATCAATACGAATCCAGGTTTCGTCGATGAAGAAGGAAGGCTGAGGATTTTTCCTATCCACGATTTCCACAAATCCTCTCACGGATGCAATCTCTGTCCTCCTAACATGTGCAAGGTACTGTATCTCTATATTTGCAGAACTGTGTATGATCAAATCCGAATCAATCAATTTCTTATATGCTGAGAGATTTTCGTTCGCAAAATTAGGGCATAGTTATGGAGAGGATTCAATCGTCGTTAATGTCAGAAGGGAAGAAGAAGAAGAAATTCATCTATTTAGGCGATGGAAGTGGCGACTACTGCCCTAGTTTGAAGCTTGGAGAAGGGGATTTTCTGATGCCGAGGAAGAATTTTCCACTGTGGGACTTAATTAGCCAAAATCCACTTCTGATTAAAGCAGAAATCCACGAATGGAGCGATGGAGAAGAGTTTGCGAGTATCTTGTTGAGCTTAATCAACACCATTTCCATGGCGGAAAATGCTCAGTTCTTGTCGTCTCAAAATATGGCCGTTCCTGCATACGAGGCCCTGCCTTCGCCCACACACAAACCAGCAATGGTGGCCAATTGAATTCAATAGGACCACGCAATTTCTTTAACCGATCACACTATCTGCTGAACTACTTTTTTTTTTTTTTTTTCTTTCTTTCTTTGATCATCTAGTGAAAATTATGTATTGAAGGCTCAATATTGGCAAACGCCAATTCAGTCTTTGCGACATCTATTTTATTTAATACTAAAATTGATCTGTAATTTACAAAAAGAAATTAGATCAATCCAACAGAATCCATTACTTTAGTTTGATTTTATTGTTAATTTTGTAAAAATACATTTTTACTATATATACATATATTTTATAATTATTATTTTTAATTATATAATATTCAACTAAAATTATTTTTTATTATTTAAAAGGTAATTTCACCTTAAATATTTAAAAATAAATAAATAGATATTTTATGTCATTATTTAATAAATATTGTTTAATCAACACCATTTTCATTGGATCAATCCAACGGAATCCATTACTTTATTTAATTTGATTTTATTGTTAATTTTTAAAAATACATTTTTATTTATAATATGATTATATACATATATTTTATAATTATTTTTTTGATTATATAATATTAAACTAAAAATAATTTTTAATTATTTAAAAGGTAATTTCACAGAATAAATTGAAACTCTTAGTTAAATACTTTAAAATAAATAAATAGATATTTTATAAATTAACAAGTTGAGTCAAATTCATTATTTAATAAATATTATTTATGTTAAAAAATTTACGAGAATAATTAGGTTAGATGTAAAGAATATTTCAATCCAAACTCAATTCATGAAAACTCCTATAACTTGAGACATGTTTCACGTTTTTTTTTTAAATTCTTTTATCCTTCTTTTCATTATATACCTATATATTTTAATTTAAAGAATATTTATATTTTAAAAACAAAATATTATAACATAAATATATAATTTATATTGTCCAATTATTTATTTATTTTTTTAAAATTAAGTTATGAAACATATTTCTCAGATGGTTATTTTAAACTTTCAATTTTTAATTGGATAGTTGAAAAATAATAATGTGTGAATCAGAAAAGAAAAGAAATAAATATTATAATTAAAATTAAAATTTTGGATAGCTTTTAAGTGTTGAAAAGTAATTTTTATTTAAACTTTCTATTCTTAATTGATTAATTTTTTAAAAAATGGTCCTGTGGAGGTGAGAAGAAGAAAATAATAAAAATAAAAATAAAATTGATATAGTCAAAGATTTTATTTTTTAACGTAGACATATAAAATGCTAAGATAAAAGTAAAGAATAAATGAAACAATAAAATGTAAAGATAAAAGAACAAAAAAAAAAAAAAAAAAAAAAAAAAAAAA